GTGCCACTACCCTCGCCCAGGTAACGGGGTGGGTGACTGTCCCCGTCCCCCCAGGCCCCCAGCTCCTGGCACCCCTGTTACACCCCCTTGCCTCCCCAACGTGGGGGTCCTGGCATGGAGGGGCTCAGGGCTGCCCCTCCACCGTGCTCCCCTCACGCCGTGCCCGTCTGCCCCACACAGGGGCACCCCCCTGGAGATGAAGACGCCCGTGTCACCCCCCCAGTCAGAGTGTAACCCCGTGGGGGCTCTGCAGGTGGGTGATGCTGTGCGCCGGGACGAGAGGGGATCCCTGTTTTGGGGGTGACAAGCCTGTTTCGCGGGGGGCATGCCCCTTTGGGGGTGACCTTACCCATTTTGGGGATGGTGGTGAGCTTTGGGGACTGCCTCTCTGCAGCTGGAGCACGGCTCTTGCCCCTTTTGGGGACTGTTATCCCCATTTTGGGGACAGCTATCCTGTTTTGGGGATGGTATCCCCATTTTGGGGATGGAGGACCCATTTTGGGGTTGGTGGACCCATTTTGAGGACAGTGGACCCATTTAGGGACAGTTAGCCCCATTCTGTGGACAGTTACCTCTTTTGGGGGGGCAATTATCCCCATTTGGGGACAGTTATCCCCATTCTGGGGGTGGTTATTCCCATTTTGGGGACAGTTATCCCTGTTTTGGGGATGGTGGACCCATTTTGAAGACAGTGGACCCATTTAGGGACAGTTATCCCATTTTGGTGACAGTTATTTCTTTTCTGGGGGGCAATTATCCCCATTTGGGGACAGTTATCCCCATTTTGGAGACGGTTATTCCCATTTTGGAGACGGTTATTCCCATTTTGGGGATGGTTAATCCTATTTTGGGGGCAGTGGACCCATTTTGGGGCTGGCCCTGTCCGTTTGGGGTATGGCAGTGTCCGTTTTGGGGATGGCAGCTCCTTTCTGGGGGCAGCTCTCCCCATTTTGGGGGGGAAGGCTGTGGCCTCGCCCTCCCCAGACCCCCCCATTTGTCTGTGCATCCCCCCCAGGAGCTGGTGGTGCAGAAGGGCTGGCGCCTGCCCGAATACACGGTGACGCAGGAGTCGGGGCCGGCGCATCGCAAGGAGTTCACCATGACCTGCCGCGTGGAACGCTTCGTGGAGATCGGTACGGGGCTGGGGCACCCCCGAGGTGTGCGTGGGGGACACACATGACAGGGTGCCAGGCTCACCTCGGTGTCCCTTGTCCCCTCCTCGCAGGCAGCGGCACCTCCAAGAAGCTGGCGAAGAGAAACGCGGCCGCCAAGATGCTGGTGCGGATCCACAACGTCCCCATGGAGCCGCGCGAGGGCAGCGAGGCCGAGGTGGAGGAGGACCAGTTCTCCATGGTACCGGCCGGCGAGGGGTTAATGGGGGGGCACACGGGCACCCCGGGGGGTTAATGGGGGATGTGGGCACCCCAAGATCACCCTGGGGGGGTTAACAGGGGGGACACAGGCACCCTGAGGGGGTCAATGTGGGACACGGGCACCTCTGTACCCTCTATTTCAGGGCTTATGGACCCCCAGTGATTAAAGTTGGGGGGCAGTAGGGCAGGGGGACACTCAAGAGACCCCCAGGTCCTCCCTGGAGGGGGGACACA